ATATATCATCTTAAAGTCTGCCATCACAGCAACTATTGCTGCTCCACGGAGGCTTGGGTGAGCCAAGATTTCATATAATGTTATCATTCTAAAGCCTTTCTCAGGGAGAAACTTGCTATGTCATTCCATTGCCAAGTTGGTTGGGAACAGTTTAGACACATGCAAGTAAGTCCAAAGTGAGGTGGAGTATATGCTACAGTACACACCTCGCCTGGCCCAACAGCCTGACTTTGCTCCACATGCAGTGGGCCTCAGTGAACTAAACAGCTGCTAAGAATGAGATTTTAACTCAGTGAAAGTGCAAGCACTTCTCTAGAATGGCAGGCAGTGAGCAAATCTCCGAATTTTGAAGAGAAAAGAAAATTATACATTTATCAGGGAGGGAGAACTTTGCTTTGTGCTGGTATTACAGTGAATGACAGTATTACTTCATAGGGAAATGAATTGGTTGTTATCTAAAGAATTCATTTCCTTGGATACTAAAAGTAAGAGGCAGTGAGTGTGGGAGAAAGACTGGAGGCCATTGCTTAGCTCCAAGGAGAGGCCACTATGCAGAAGAAACTGGCTGGAGAGCACTTGTCTCATATATGGAAGGCCTTGAGTTTGAGTCCCATCAAACACACACACACACACACACACACACACACACACACACACAGCCCACTTGTGCAATGCAAATGCAAGGGGTTCTTATGTTTCAGTGGTGCCAAACATTGGGATATTTATTTGACATTTAAAACATAAAATAATAAGCCAGTCAATTAAAGCAAGCCTAGAATGCAGCAGGCAGCTACCAGTTTTTAAGACTTGGCCCAGAGGGGATATTTCTCTAAAACTGAATTGAGTGGGTTACTTCTTATAGGACATAGATACAGCATTTTAGCTGAGTAGGTGTATAGGTTTTCCCTTTTCTTTGCTAGGGACTTTATTCAGGAATCCCAGACTGGGAGCATGGGATAGAAAGAAAATAAGCATTAAAATGCTTTTTTTTAAACCCACAAAAATTTGTTAAAAAACCAAACTGACCATTGGGTTATATATTAAAACAGTATCTCGAAGTCTGAGAGGAAAATAACTATGTTTAAAAGTAAGTTTCCAGGACAAGTTCACTCATGTCTGCTAAATTTCCAGTAAGTGGAGTACTATCTGTTGAAATAGAATCTTTGGGAAATCTGTTATCACCTTCAGATCTTTATGTTTACTTTCCTGTTGGAGATAGCTAACAGTATTATTAAAATATGTATGCTGAAAAGTTTCCTAAGAACAAATGCCAGGTATGTATTTGAACAGTCAACATTCTAGTTTTAGGAGTATCAAATTAAGCAAATTAAAAAATCCCACCACTATAGGGTTGAAAAACTGGCTTAGCAGTCAAGAGCACTGGCTACTCTTGCAGAGGGCCTGGGTTCAGTTCCCAGCACCCACATGCAGCTAAACTGCCTCTAACTCCAGTTCCAGAAATCATCACCCTCTTCTGCCTTCTGCAGGCACTGCATACACATACTACACATATAAATATGCAGCACTCACACATACACATAAATGTTTTTTAAAAACACCACAAGATTTCAAATTTTTATGTTAATCTTAACCTTACTCTTGAAAATTCAGGGGTTTACAGGGCATCAGTTCCCCAAACCCATAGAACTTTTCATTTCGGCTCTATAAAGTGAACTTGATTATGTCTCATCTGACTGAGATATACCTTTTGCTGGGAGTCTGTGACATTGCCATTCCTGATATTTACAGTCTTTTTTACCAAGTCTAAGATGCGTGTTTATGATGCTGCTATTGCTCTGGTATCAGAAAACTTCTTGTAATTGATGGTGTTTATAGCAGCTGGACACGGTTGCAGGAAGAACCGCATCCTGCCATCATTCTGCTGAGCCACATGCCTTGGGACTACGCATGTGCAGTTGCATTGCCATTTAAAATATGTTTTCAAGGCTGGAGAGATGACTAAGTAGTTGCTCTTGCAGAGGCTAACAACCATCCATAACTTCAGTTCCGATGGATCTGATGCCCTCTTGTGGCCTCTGTGGGCATTGCATGGACATGGTGCTCATATTATATGCAAGCAAAACACTCATATACATAACATTTAAATAAATTTACAAATGGTGGCCTCTGTGGGCATTGCATGGACATGGTGCTCTTATATGCAAGCAAAACACTCATATACATAACATTTAAATAAATTTACAAATTTTTAAAGACTTAAAAAAATAAAAATAAAACGAATTTTTAAAGAACAAATGGGGGAGAATGTGATGGGCAGATGTAAGAATTCTTTGTGCCGATCTTGAACTGTCAATCCTAAAATGATTTCAAATTACAAGGTAAAAATTAAAATGTCTTTAAAAAGGATTAAACTATCTGGCTTTAAAGCGGATACTTATCGTGTAGTAAGAAGGCACAGAACCAAGAATTAAGAGGAAGCTGATATTAGTGAAGTGAATTTCCAGCATTGGAGTGATTTGTTTTTGTATTGTCCTCACAGAGGGCTTTTTAGGACCAAACAGGTGAAGTTGTGGGGATATTTTGTAGCTGAGATACTTGCAAAAAGCCACTGTCAGCCAAGCCAGGCGGCTGAAGGCAGAAGGAGCTGTCAGTTCCTCAGAAGGGTTAAAAACCATTTCAAAGCAGAGGCCGATAAGCAAGGCTGTCATCGAAAAATCATGTCATGGTTTGCTTCAAAGCAGGCTTTTTTCCTTCTTAGTTTATTTTTAAAAGGTGGAGAGATGGCTCAGTAGGAAATGAGTTCATTGTGCAAGCATGAGGACCTGAGTTCAGCTCCCTGGGGCACCCGTACAAAATGCGGAGTGCAGAGGTGGATTGCCTGTAACTCCAGTGCTGTAGGGGAAGAGGCAGGAGGATCCTGGATGTTCGCTGGCCAGCTAGTTTAGCCGAAACATAGAGATCAGGGTTCAGTGAGAGACTCAGTCTCAAAAATAAGGTGGAGAGCAATAGAGAAAGACATCTGATGTTGAATGTTGGCTTCTGCACAGGCATAGCACCTGCATATACATGTAGACACATACACAGAGAGAGAGAGAGAGAGAGAGAGACAGAGAGAGACAGAGAGAGACAGAGAGACAGAGACAGAGACAGAGCGAGACAGAGAGAGATAGAGACAGAGAGACAGAGAGTGAGAGAGCACACTTAAAATGGATCGCATTATAGAACTTAGGGTGTTGTGCTCGTGAATGATCAACATAGGTGTATTTTCATGTCTTTTACTCCAGGATTTAAACCTAGAGTTGAGATGTTCTCAGTTAAGTAAAAGGCAGAGTCTTGGACCTGAAAATTAGAAAAGCTATTTTATTTAAAATTTATTTATTTATTATTATTTGTATGAATGTATTGCCTGCATATGTGTAAGTGCACCTGTGTCGTGCAATGCCCATGGAGGTCAGAAGAGGGCATCAGGTCCCCTGGAACTGGAGTTGAGGACAGCTGTTAGCCACTATGTGGGTGCTGAGAATCAAAGCCAGGTCCTCTGCAAGATCAGCCAGTGTTCTTCACTGCTGAGCCATCTCTCCAGCCCCGGGAAGGCTACTTCATAAGCTCTGTAAGGTTGAGACTATGCCTGATTTATTCACTGGGGTCCCCTGTCCCTTCTCATGCAGCTTTTGCATTGACAAATCAGTGGGTGGGATTAGAATGGAAAAGCCTCAATGCAACATTCCTTCCAAACTCAGGAGGCTGGCTCAGATGTTCATTTAAACTTCACTCTTTTTTTGAATCTATATTCTTATCATTAACATAGATTTTTAAAAATCTTTTCTTTTTAGCCTAGTATTTTCTGACTCTATAGTACCAAGGCAGCTTGAATATTCTTTGCCAGTGACTGGCAAAGTGACAGTTTTCACAGACAGTGCCTTTATCCACCCCAGTGGAGGCATGACAGGTGCAGACAGTCTTGATGTCATGCCCAAGGACACACAGAGGACCTCTGCCTGACTTCGTGTGACCTCTAGTCCTCCCCCTGACACCTGATCAGCCCCAGGACTGATCAGTCTTCCTCCAAATCATACATGAAAAGCATCTTTGAACATGGAACAATGGGAATTACAATTTCTAGGAACAAGACTGTGAAACATTCCTATTAATATACCTGAATAATAATTATTTTTAGAATATAAAGTTCCTAAAAAATACAAACTTGCTTGGGAATTTGTTTGATGTATCTTTAAAGAAGTGAATATGCCGGGTGTGGTAGTGCACACCTTTAATCCCAGCACTTGGGAGGCAGAGGCAGGCAGATCTCAAGGCCAGCCTGGTCTACATAGTGAGTTCCAGGACAGCTGGGGCTACAAGGAGACCCTGTCTCAAAAAAGAAAAAAAAAAAAAAAAGCGAATATAGGGGCTGGAGAGATGGCTCAGCGGTTAAGAACAGTGGCTGTTCTTGCAGAAGACCCGGGTTTGAATCCCAGCACCCACATGGCAGCTAATAACTGTCTGTAACTCCAGTTCCAGGGGATCTGACAGCCTCTTCTGTCCTCTGCGGACATTGCACAACACGGGTGCACTTACCTACATGCAGGCAATACACAAATACACATAAAATAAAAATAATAAATATATTTTTTAAAAAAGTGAATATGATGAAATTGACTGTGTTGTCAATGTAATCTCTTAGCTAAATTATATACAAGATTTATAAAAATTACAGTTAAGCCAGACATGGTGGCACATGCCTGTAGTCCCAGCACTTGGGAGGCAGAGGCAGGTGGATCTCTGTGAGTTCAAGGCCAGCCTGATCTACATAGTGAGTTCCAGGACAGCTCTGGCTACAGGGAGACCCTATCTCAAAAAGATAAAAAAAAAAAAATTACAGTTAAGAATCAATCAGTATGGGAGCTGGAGAGGTAGCTCAATGGTTAAGAGCACTTGCTGCTCTTGCAGAGGACTGGGATTTGGTTCCCAGACCTCACATGGCAGCTAACAACTGTCAGTAACTCCAGTTCCAGGGGATCTGATGCCCTCTTCTGGCCTACACAGGCACTGCATGTACATGATGCACTTACATACATGTAGGCAAAACACTTATGCTCATTTAAAAAAAATCCATTATAAAAAAAATCAATTATATGGCCTAATGATATAGATCCTTCAGCCTCTATAAATGCCACTGTAATAATGACCAATACTTTTCATTTTGCAGGAAATAAACCTGGCTCAGCATAGGATCACAGTAAATACTAAAACTGAAATAATAGCAAAACTTTTTTAAATCCCATTGATTCATGAAGATGGTAATCTGAGGTTTGCTATCTGCCTGCCTGTCTAAGAAGTGAAAAGCAGAAATACTGCAGGCAGTTTAGCCCATCTACTGAAAAGACCCAATTCTCCTGAGCATTTATTCCAGTTACTTACAAATGTGGCTTAATTAGGTTTCTTTCTTATTTATTCCTCCCAGCAAGCTCCTGGGGTCTCTGATTCTCTGCTCTGTGTGGCTAGAATGGTGCTATTTTACAATGTAATTTGAGGATTCAGAATAGTAGGCTAAACAAAAGCTTGGTCCTTCAGAATTAAGTTTTAGCATGAGCATTACCACTTTTCCTAGACATGTTATTAGCTTCCCCAAGCCTCCCTCTTGTCTTCACAAATGGGAAGAATTGTGCCTACCTTCCAGAATGAAGATGATGAGATGAGCCAATTAGCTTACACAAGTGCTCAATAAAAGTTACCTGCCAGCATGCTTGTCATAGAGGGCTCACAGGTGTCTGTCCTTAGGGTAACCAGTACTTTAAACCTACTGGTGATGCCCTTCCGAGTAGCTACAATCAGGATCTCCCTGCAGCTAGGCTGGGGAATGTGGCTCAGTTGATACTTGCCTAGCAGACACGAAGCCCTCAATTCAACCCCTAACACCACATAAAGGATGACACACCATCCTTAGCTACCTAGCAGGTTCCAAGTCAGCCTATCTCAAAAATATAACAAGAGGGAGCGAAGCTGGGATCTGTTTCTCGGGGTTTTTGTTCATGTCTCCCGCCTTCTACTTACAGGTTTCAGATAGGCGACGTTGCTGTGACGGATGTCATTCAAGAGCTGGTCTCTGGGGGTGATTTCCACCAGCGGGGGTGGCCTATTTCTCGGAACTGGCTTGAGCGTTTTGATCACGTCTTTGAGGTTGGTTTTCTCTGGTGCCTCTCTAGCATCCGGCATGCGAGATTTGCGCTGAATTCTCTTCAACTTCACCACCCGGAAGGAGTCGGGGTCGGTCTTGTACTGCGGAGGTTGGGATGGTTTTTTCATTTCATTTCTTCGACCGAAGGGGACTTCTTGGGCATTGGGAGGCCGTCCCGGAGAAGGCTGGAGGAACTCCTGCATCCTGGGGTCTGGCATAGGTCCTCCCAACCTTTCCCACATCCCAGGGGGCAGCCCCAACCCGTTCTCCAACATAGCTATCAACTTCCTCTGTTCTTTAAGTTGCTGCTGCTTCTGCTCCTCTTGTCTTTTCTGCCTTTGTTTATCCTGGTTTCTGGTGAGCAGATTAGTTACCACCATTCTGGGACCCGGAAGCTCGAAATGGTAGCCCATCTTCAGGAGAGTGTTGTTAGCCTTCAAAAGCCTGGATATTTCCATTTCAGCATGGTGGCCCAGCATATGCCTCTGGTTGTGAAACCGAAGTTCGGTGAGTGTCTCATTAAACTGGAGGCACCTCATGATAGCCACGATGCCTTTCCCTGTGATGAAGTTGGACTCGATGTTGAGTGTGGCGATGCTCCTGTTTTCACGCAGCATGTTGGCCAAGGCGAAAGCTACGCTCTCATCCGCACCCACATTGGCTAAGCTGAAGGTTTTGATGTGTTTGTTTTTCTTCATTGCATTGACAAAGTCCAGCAACATTTCTTTAGGGATGTTTTCAATGTTGTTCAGGTTGAGTTCCTTCATGTCCGGGTCATTCTGTCTCACGCGTCTCAAGCTTCCATCCAGATCTGTTTGGTTCCCTGAAGGCCTTGCACTTATCTTCAGAAAGCTGGTATCTAGAGCTAACTTCTTAGCATCTAATTTGGCTATTTTCTTCTCACCTTTTTCTTGGGCCTCTGGCCTGTCTTTCTCTTCTGATGCTTTAGTAGATAGCCGCTGGCTGTTGCTTATGCAATTCTGGATTTGTTTCTTTGCTTGATTTTCTTCTATTTGAACTTTTTCATCACTTTCTTCACCTTCATCTTCATCCTCATCTTCATCCTCCTCCTCTTCCTCCTCCTCTCCCTCCTCCTCCTGGTCATTATCATCATCTTTTTCTTGTACATTGTTGCTGCCTTTAGATTCCCTTTTATTTGCAACGATTTCACTATTGAGTTTTTCTTTTAAAAACTGGGACATACTTTTAATGGCTTTGTCTCTTCGTTCATTCTGTTTTTGAGTGTTTTCCTAAAAAATAAGTTTATTATGATTAGAATACACAGCAGAGAAGAAATGCAAAGCAGGATTTCTACTAGAATTGAAAATATTTTTAAGGGCACTGCAGAGATGGCTCAGCAGTTAGGAACGCTGGCCACTCTTGCAGAGGACCCAGGATTGGTTCACAGCACCCACATGGCAGCTAACAACCACCTGTAACTCCAGTTCCAGGGGAATCTGATGCCCTCTTCTGCCCTCCACAGGCACTGCATGCATGCATGCACTTATGTACATGCAGGAAAACACCCAGACACATAAAATAAAAATAATGAATAAAATATTAAAAATATCTTTAAGGCTTTAAGATGGTTCATTAGGTAAAGTGCCGGCTGTGAAAGAGAAAGAACCTCAGTTCAAATCTCCAGAACCCACAAAAAGGAAGACGTGAGGTGAGGAACAGAGACAGGAGATTCCCTGGAAGCTCTTGGGCCAGTTAGCAAGGATGTCCTGTGACTAATATATACACATGCCATGACATATGCATACCTGTACTTACACACACAGACATGAACACATACACACATATATACACAAGAGATTTTTAAAATTTAAACAAAAAATATTTTAAGTGAAAAAAATCAAGCTAATAAACTGTGTATAATATTCTATGTATGTATATGAATACATGACATTTTATATATAAGAAAACATTCTGGAATTATTATCAAATTCATGCGGTTTTTTCTTAGTAAGGAAGATGACTACTAAGACCAGAGAAAGGGGAAGAATCTAGAAGGCTTTCACTTTTTATAGCATGCAAATTTCTAATGTTTTAAAATATTTTTAATTATTATTTTTAATTTTTGTGTATGAGTGTATTGCCTGCATATAGGTAGGTGCACTTGTGTCATACAATGCCCATGGAGGTCATAAGGGGGTGTCGGATCCCCTGGAACTGGAGTTACTGACAATTGTTAGCTGCCATGTGGGTGCTGGAAATTAAACCTGGGTCCTCTGCAAGAGCAGCTGGTGCTCTTAACCACTGAGCCATCTCTCCAGCCCCAACTTTATAATTTCTAAGTTTGCTTTTTTTAAAATACCAAAGACCCATATGACAAACAAATGCAGCTAACATAAAGATAGACTTATAGATTCACATTTGGGCCTTTGCTTATCTCCATCCAGATACAGTGGTAGCTTGGTTTCTTTGGGAAATTGGTTCCTAGACTCCTGGAACTAATTCCTGGGTGTTTAAGCATCTCGTAACAGTATATATTATGTGCTTATAACCTATACACATCCTCCCCTGAGGAGGTACTTTAAGTCATCCTTAAATGACTTATGATATCTAATACAAGGAATGTAAATAGTTACAATACTATATTGATCAGAGAATGAAAAAAGCTCTGTAAATATTCAGTCTGCATTGCAAAAAAAGTTTAAAAAAAAAGTATTTTCAGGGGCTGGAGAGATGGCTTAGCAGTTAAGAACACTGGTTGTTCTTGCAGAAGACCCGGGTTCGAATCCTAGCACCCATATGGCAGCTAACAACTGTCTCTAACTCCAATTCCAGGAGTTCTGATGGCTTCTTCTGTCCTCCACGGGCATTGCACGACATGGGTGTACTTACCTACATACAGGCAATACACACATACACATAAAATAAAAATAAATAAAATATTTTTAAAAAAGTATTTTCAATCTACAGTTGTTTGAATTCAAAGATATACACAGGACTAACTGCAGTAAAATAAAACCTAGTTTATTTTGTTTTCAGATTCTATATTTTATAAATGGTATTCAATTCTAGAACACTTAAAATATTCACTTTGAAACCTTATGCAGGTTTCAAAATCGGTATGTTGAAGTCTTTGTTTCATATATGGTGGAATAGGCATGTTTGTCAGCAGCCTGTGTTAGGAAATAATTTACTTATATTCCCATAAACTTAACCTTCCTTAAATATATACTTTTCTCATATAACATGCATATCACATTTCCCTGAGAACATAACCTGGTATGGGGAAATGAGAGTTTGATAATCTAGAATATGTTTCCAAAACCTTGATTTGAATTTCACCTCTGAAATTCTGAACACACAGCCAACATTACTCTAGAAACAGGCTTACTAGTTTCTGAAGCAAAGTATGCATAAGGAAGAGCCAGCTACAAAATGGAATAAGATTAAGGTTATATTTATAACTCCTTGCTTTGTCAGGGAAGGAAAATGACAGTTTTCTTTTACATCAATGTTTATTAGGTGCTTATGCATAAATTGTTATGATTTTCATACAGTTGTGTTTTTGTGTGTGCAATTTTGAAAGCTAATGGAGTAATCTGACTCACAGTAGCCTGAGCAAGAATTTAGGCTGGATTTATCAGTACATGACCTGGTCCTTAACCACCTCCTAAAGCCTTCCCAATTGAATTTCTCATCTGTCCCAGCAGGGGGAACCAATCATCAAGATGTTGAAAATATAATGGGAAGAAACATAAGCACTCGTCTTGTTTTCCACCTAAACTTGGTATTCATATGGAATTGACTTTGGATCTATTAACCTGCAATTGTAAAATGTCTGTAAGTGACATATTAGGCTCTAGCCTGATCGAGTCAGCAGTTTATTTTCTGGAGTTTAGTTCATGTTTAAAGTCACCTGCTGGGAAGCCCATTTGCTACTTCCTTTTCTCACACCCAGTGTGCCCTAATGTGACAAGACACATATCTGTATCAGCAGGTGGACCTGAAGAAACTGTGGAGAGATCTCTGTCTTCCTTTCTCTAAGTACTTTCTAAGTGTTATGAATTTGTGCTTTAGGACCAGACAGGTAGCTCAGTGCATAAAGGCACCTGCCACCAGACCTGATGACTTGAGTCCAATTTCTGGGATTCCCATGGTGCAAGGAGAGCACGGACTCATGAAAGTTGTCCTTTGACCCCCCACACACACACGCATGCACACACACAAATAACAAAATATAATAAAAATTTTAAATTGTGCTTTATACATAGCAGGTTTGTAGAGCTGATGGCAGTTCAGTTCTTTAGATTAAAAATTTCAAGAAAGAACTATCTTGAGACAGTTTCACAGCCATCCTATCCCAGATGTCATCACTGATGCCCAAGGCACAGAGGGAATAGTATATATTTTCAGTTCCCAGACTTGGTTTAGTGTGTATGGCCAGATTTTCTAGGAACTGGGAAGCTTTTGGTATTATATGTAAAATCTTGCATGTGTATAGCTAGGCCAGAGAAAGGGGTTCCTAGCTTTGATGAACTTCTCAATGGGGCCTGTGAGCCACAAATGTCAAAAGATTTCAGAACAGCTGTTTCTGGGTTATGAGTTAAGTTTTAAGTATCATGGCTACAGACCACAGGCTCCGACACAGCAACCCGAGGGCAATGTTGAAAGAAAGACACTGACAAGAAATGACCAAGTTTCTTGACAAGAATGACCCTTGTGATTATATCATGCTTCAGAAAGTTCCAGTCTGGAGTAGGATTTAGTAGTATGATATAATCTAGATGTGGCAAAACCCCAAACAAAACCATACACTGAAGCCTGGAGAAATGACAGTTGCAACTCAGACCCTGCCAGCCCAGTCCCGGCAGCCATTTCTCTGTCCCACACAGATCCCTGGTTACCTCAGACTGCACAAAAGTGACAGGAACTCGCTCATCTTCCAACATGCGTCTAGATGCCTTTTGCAGATACATGTAATCGACCAGAGATTTATGGTCGAAGTTTCCTGTGGGTGGCTTGTCGGTTTGATCTTTTTGGATCATCCCCACAGGAAGGTGGGGGTCAGGGGCCATGACTTCCATCTCTGACTGCAATTCCCTCAGCTCTTCAGGGGACAAGTTGGCCAAGATTTCATCTTCATCAAGCTCCTCACTGAGGATTTCTTCTTGATCTGAATTTCTGCCGTGCTCCGACATTGTTTATTTTTATCTGTTTCTAGATTACTAGAAAAGAAGAAATAATCCACTATTCTTTTTTTAAAGAACAAGGATGCAAGCACCTCAGTATCTTCCGGTAAATAAGTATCCCAGGTCAACCCACCCTTGAGAAATTTTTTTCCCAAGAACCTCAGTGGTGCTTCCTGAGCCACTAAGAGTGACTGAAGCTCAGCTCATGAGGGACTATATTAAGCAGGGTTTGGCTGGGCAGAGTCAAGTTATGGAATTACTACGTGACTCCCTTTTCGGCAACTTGAGTCAGCTGTGCAAATCCATCTGACATTTCAGTACAACTGCCTTGTCCACCAATGAGTAGACAGTTCACAGAACCTCTGCAGGAATCCAGCGCATTCTCTTCCACATGGCCTCCCATGGCCACTTACAGCTCCCTACAACCCATGCCCACACACCCCAGATCTCCAGGGGAACCTGCTTCTGTTTATTTAAACAATGCAAACAACTCACAAAGCATCAGAATGGAAATGCAGCCAGCAACTTCAGTTTCTTTGGGAATGAAAAAGTCACTGGAGGTAGAAATCAGGCTCCCGAGCTTTGCTGCTTCTCTTCAGCTGGCTCTGGAGGTTATAGTCCTGCAGAGAGCAGAGCCAAGTCCTGCTGTTATTCATCCCTGTGTAAGCCGAACCTGTGCAAGCTGTCCTTATCTGTCTAGATCCTGTGAGCTAACAGACTGGGATAACCAGTCTCCAATTTTCCACTATGAGAGTGGGGTTGAATATTTTTAACTATTTTTCTAATTAAGCATCCATTAAGACTAGATGAATGAAGACGGGTCTAAAGAGAAATATAAACAAAAGCTTTGAACCATTAAGGCATGGAAACAAACTGTGAGAAGAATTTTTTTTTTTTTTTTTTTTTTTTTTTTTTTTCGGGGTCTTGCTGTAGCCCCAGCTGTCCTGAAACTCACTATGTAGACCAGGCTGGCCTTGAATTCACAGAGATTCACCTGCCTCTGCCTCCTGAGTG